CCTGAGGTGTTCATTTCTCTTCGCTACCTACCCATTTATTCTGAATGTTGAATCTTTTTTTTTTTTTCCTTTTTGTCTTTTTGTCGTGACCGGCAACGGATCGCAACCCTCAGTGTCACACCCGTACTGGACCAGGACCGGCAACGGGATCACAACCCTTGGTGTTGCTCCCGCACCTCGCTCAGCCAGTGAGCGGCCGGTCTGTATGTGGGATCCGAACCCTCGGCGGGAACGCCGCTGTGCTCCGAAGCGGCACACTGTAGCAGTGCGCCACCAGCCGGCCCCTTTATGCCCCTTTTCCAATCTCTTCCCATCCCCCTTTCCCTCCCCCTCCCACCTCTGATAACCCTAGATACCTTCTCTCCTTCTGAAAGAGTGACGGGCCGTGGCAGCAGTGGCATGCCCAGGTGCAGGAGGACGGGTCAGTCCCCGGCTCCATCTGTTTTTACGTTCTAGGACGTTGTTGTGGAGCAGTTGGCTGGGAGGGGGAGGAGGGCGTGGCTGAGGCCTGTGGCACCCCCCTTATTCCTGCAGGGAGACCAGGGCACTTCCAGTGGTGGTTTGATCGTTGCTGGGCTGAATGCAGATGTCGGGGGTGTGGCCAAAGCCCTCAGTTTTCCAGCTACGAGGCTCAGGAGCTCAGGGCACTTCCTGTGGTGGCTCAGTGGTTGTCATTGGGCTGGGTGCGGGCGTTGGGGTGGCGTGGCTGAGGCCCTTGGCCCCCCACCATCCCGGTTCGGAAGGCTGGGGTGCTTCCTCCAGCAGCTCAGCGGTTGTCGCTGGGCTGGTTGTGGGTGTAAGGGGCATGGCTGAGGCCCCCAGCCCTCCCCCTCGGCCTGGCTTGGGGGCTCAGGGGGCTTCCGGTCCTTCTAGGTTTTATAGATGTTCTTTGGTGAAGTGAGACCTTTACTAGTTAATATCAAACTTTGTTTCTGGTCTGTGGGTATTTTGTTTCTTCTCTCAGGTCTGTGTTGGATTATTGGTTGTTCCCACCACTTTAAACTCTGCACTGGTACTGTTTGTTGTCCTTTGCTTACTTCTAAAATGGGGGAACTTTCTGTGGGGACCAGCACTTGAACCCTGTGGTTGCGCTAAATTGCTGCTTTGCTGCTGATTCTCTGGGGAAGGCTTTTTGTGCAGCTCAGGTTTTAATTGTTGACATTGTATGTACTTCCAGGTCTCGTGAGGTCTGGTACACCTGGGTTGTGTGGAAACTCTGGTCTGGGACACAGATGTAGGAATGCACAGGGCGAGGGATGGGAGAAGGGCGTGGAGCTTCCGTGCCCTCCCCGGCCTCACCACCCTCCGGGAGCCTGCACGTGTTCACTGTTTGGAAGCTCCCCGAACCCTGTGCTCTTGGGTTTCTGTGGAAGCTTTGTTCATAGGCAAGGCTGATTAAATCCTTGACCACTGGCGATCAGCTTAGACTTCAGTCCCTCTCCTGTCCCTGGAGGTTGGGGGGTGGGACTGAAAGTCCCACTTTGGTCTTTTCTGTGACCAGCCCCCCTCCTGAAGCTACCGAGGGGCTGCCAGCCATCATTANTAGGCAAGGCTGATTAAATCCTTGACCACTGGCGATCAGCTTAGACTTCAGTCCCTCTCCTGTCCCTGGAGGTTGGGGGGTGGGACTGAAAGTCCCACTTTGGTCTTTTCTGTGACCAGCCCCCCTCCTGAAGCTACCGAGGGGCTGCCAGCCATCATTAGCGTCCAGAAAGACTCAGCACTGTGAAGATTCTAAGGATTGGAGGAGTTGTATGTTAGGAGATGGGGATGAGGACCAGGTATATATTTTCGCAGTGTCATACCTGGTCATCAGCTCAGCTGCTAGGCAGACTTAGGTCTGGGGAAAGGGCAGGGCTCTCTCTCTGGCTTCCACCCACCTTGAGAACTATTGAGCTGGGGTCTGACCCGCACTGTACCACGTCGGGCCTGTCTCATCAGTGAGCCTCTGCGGCCTGCCTCTGGCCCGGAGAGGCAGACGTGGTCAGTGTCCCAGTTCAGTCCCTCCATGCTGTTCACCTCACTGCTCGTGGAGCCTGGCTAGGCCTGGTGGAAAGTACTGGGGAGCGGCCACGAGAGCAGCGAGGAGCCCTGTGCCCTCGCTGTGCTGTGGCTTCTCTTTGCAGAGTGCACCTTCAAGAGCAACATAAGATGGAAGTGAAACATTTTCTTTAAAAACAAACAGCAGTGAGTCGTCCTCCCGGTAGGACAGCTTCATCTCCACCTGATGGAAGCTGTGCATTTTTACGTAAAGGAGCTCGTTATCACGCTCGCTTTCCGGCAGGGAGAGGCTTTCCGTGAGGAACTTTCCTGAGTAGGGCCTGTTCCAACTGTGAATGGAAGTGGATTTTAAAAAATACGGTACTTAGTGCCATAAAATGAAACAATTAAACCAAATCCCAGAATTTCCACAAAGAATGCATCTTTTCTATGGTTCCCAGGTTTTCCAGGAGCACACTCCTCATGGGTTTACTGATCCCCTTGACCCCACTGCGCTGAGCAGTGAGCTATGCAGAGCACAGTGTCGTGACGGACATGCCCAGCTCAGTCCCAGGAATTCCATTTCTCCCTTTTGTTTTTCTAGGGGGAAAAAGCAAAGATTTCCCCCAAACATCCTCATACACATGTGTGAAGAAAACCAGCAGCTGAGCGGGCACGTGCTGCGCCTTGGAGTGTGGCTCCCAGACAGCAGCCGGAGGAGGGTGGAGGCGCTGGGTCCGAACACGGGGGGGTGCGCGCTCCAGCTGCTCCATCCGAGCTGCTCTTTCCAGCCTGGCAGTGCTTGTGATCAAGCAGAGCGATACCTGTTTACATTAATTTTTCATTTTTTCCGCGAAGTCCCCTCGCTCTGAAGCAAGAGCGCCTCCCACACGGCCACGCCTGCCCTGCAGCCCCTCGCCTGCTCTGTCGCCCACCCAGGAAGAGTGTCTGAGCGATGAAAATCAGAAGCAGTGCCTCGTTATGTGACATGGAGTTTCAGTGCAAGTCTGCCTGCAGAGGCTTCGTGGGAGCCTGGCCCACCCCGGGGGCTTTCTCTCACCACGGAGGCTCCAAGTTCAAGGATGTAGAGTCTGGCACTGACAGAGTGAAACCCAAACCAAAGCTCTGTCCTGGAAAACCAGCAGGTTCTGTGTGAACTGTTAGTGTACCTGGACGTGTTGATGGTCTCTACTGGCTATTTTCAGGGACAAAAAGCACGTCTGCCTGTGGGCCCAGGGACGCATGGTGATTGTG